AAATTACTTAAAATAATGTACCTATGTATCCATTTAAGAACATTTCTTGATTTTGTTCACATGTGATATCCATTTTCTTCCATCTCGTTTTGAATAAAAGTACGTCGCATGTCGGAAAGTATTGGCAAAATTTTTCTCTTTTCGTCCCTGTGCCTTATCCTTTCGCGCGCGTTACAACGTACAAGGTCGCGTTTCCGGTTCATGAATGAAGTCACGCCGATGCGCAGGGTGCGGAGCTGTCAACGAGGTGGACTGGACTTTTGTCGCCCAGGAAAGAGGTGCGGCTCAGCTGTCGCGTCTTTTATTCCAGCATCTTTATTAAGCCGAATTACCAATGGAAAAATCGCACGCGGCATCCTCCGCGTGCTTCTTCCTTCGAGACTTGAATTCACCACTGCGAGCCGTATTCACGCAAAGATGCGACCGGTTACAACCGGGAGAGCACGACCGGCTTGACTAACTGTACATGGAGGAGTGTCGCTCGCATGCTCCTTAATTCTGCAATTATTTTGTCCAAGAAACTTGGCTGATACAGCCTCTATAGGACGGGGACTAAGAGTTTAGATCCTGCGTAGACATTTTTAATGTCGGGATTCTATATGTGGAATCAGTCGAAAGTTTATCTATGACTTTTACTTTTGCTCGCTTTATACGTCTACGACATTTGTCTGCGATAAGAGATTAATTTTATATTTAGTCTTTAAGTTTTTGTTAATAAATTAATTAATTATATTATTTTAGAGAGAAAATTTTGGGATTTTTGTGCAAATTTTCGATTTCTTCGAAATTTCAAAGCTATAATTACGAATTTTTGCAACGTATCAAAGTATCAAAGGATTCCTCATATCGGCAAATATGAATATGAATAGTAAAATGTTAATGTTATAACCAATTAAAAATAAAGTTTCGATCGAATTGAATATTTTAAGGGAATTTATTTATATTAATTGTGATTACTACGCACGACTTTGTGGGAATTCGCTTTTTCCTCTAGCGATAAAATTAAAAAATAGTGTGTCATGTTCGATCTTTAAGTAAGTACCGCCGTGAAATAGTATTCGTATCACGTCGCAAGTCGCAACTGATTGCAGTCAACGGAGCATAACCATCGCACTGCCATATCCTGCTGTTTAACAATCGCATTTTTCCGTCATGTTTTGTATACGTGCACAGAACTTTGGTAAAAATGCATGCTATGGATGTATATTTTAAATAAAATTAATTGATAAAAATATACTATCTCGATACGCGACATTATTCTTTACATTGCCTGAAAATTTCTTAAAACTATAAAAGTTTCTTTTATAAGCAACACTATCACATAAGATAACAATTAATTGTGATATTTACTTTCAACAGTTTTGCCATACAGTATTTTTTATTGAGAGTTTGATTTCAATACCTTAAAGATTAAAATAGAAGGACTCTTTTAATTAGAAAATACAAATAAAAAATAACAATAAGGAAGTCAAGCGCAGTAAATGAGGCGCAAATAATTATCCGCTAAATTCTATCTGTATTTGAGGTTTTTCTTACATCCAGACGTTTCGATCCGATAACGTTTCGATTTTCGGTACACCTTCGGTAAATAAATATATCCATAATAAAGAATAGTTTGACACGTATTAGTCCGCGACTTCGCCGATTCGCATCGATAAACGCAATAGTGCGATAGGCTCTCGAGAGCCTCAGTCCAAACAGTATGATGTAGGAGACACCGATGTATGATCAATATCATTTGAACCATTTATAATATATTCAACAAATAAAGTTTTTTGATGTGTCAAAAAGTTAGAAGAACAAGGAATTGTGTTGGAGACTCTCACCTCGATGATATCGCCAATTATATAACAATAAAATGTACACGTGGAAATAAATACTGAATATTGCAATAGCGTGGTCACAATTATAAGAAATAAAAAAATTTTTAACAGAGAAATAAGATAATAGTCGGTTAGTAAAAAGAAAAAAAAAGCAAATAAATGTCTTAATTGTTTCGTGTCAATTATTAAAATGTAAAAAGATAAACAACAAGGATAGAAAGTAAAAAATTGTTATGAAGAAAAGTACGATCACACGCTTATATATTGTTTATAACAGGGATGTACGTACATATGGCTAAGAAATTCTGTGTCTGTTTGCAAATCGATATCATTTTTTTGTTGCGTGATATGTATCATTAATCTCTAGAATTAATCTTTTATTGCAATTTTTTTCTACCGCATACCAAAACTTTCACGTTAGCAATCGAAATCGTGTCCTATGTGTATCCTGTGATCAGTAATGTGACTGAATGTGTGGAGATATTCCACCTTATGTGACTTCGATGTTCGTTAATTCTCATTTTCAATTGTCTACCGGTCTGTCTCACGTAAGATGCATCGCAATCCGTGCATTGTAGCTTGTAAAGTAATTTTTTTTTTTTTTTTTTTTTTTTTATCCAAAAGTGGAAGGGGATCTTTTCGTACTCTAATAAAATTGTTTAATTTATTGATACTGTAAATGGCTAATTTATATTTTCTGTATCTTTTAACATAGTTTGATTTTACATCTATAAGATGTTTTATACTTCATTTCTCACGACTTGTAAACTTATATGCAGCCGCAGTATGTGTTCGAATTTATGAAACAGACCAAAAGCCTGCTTTTGCTGCAGATACCGATACTCGGGTATTATTAGGATTAGACTTAAAATTGTGTACGAGCGTTCGAAGTATCGGTCGATCAACCACACCGCGGTCCATCATAATTTCAATCCTGCATCGCGTTTATTCGGCAAGATTATGCGTACATTGATGTGCGTATTCGAAAATTTGGCAATTGTATACAGCTGTGAATGACGAGACCATTCGATTCCAAAGCGAATATCCCAAATGTTTTTGAATCAACGCATTTTGAAATTTCTTGACGGAAATTTTCTTGATATTTCGATGAGCGAAACACTCCTTTCTATAATAATGCTCGGAATGCGATAAAGACATAAAAGAAAAACTCGGATCGCTATCAAGTTAGGTATACGAAAAATATCAATACGATACGTAAAAGGGACTTTTGCCATTCCTTTTATTCCTACTATCTCGCCGTCCGTTGTATACTTGGGGAAGCTGGTATCACTTTTAAAATTCCTCAATGACTCACAGATTTCGCGATTAAGCAACACGATTGGTTACAGATTACTCACCGGTTTTTAACCGGTTTTTAACCTTCTCTCCGGGTAACGAAGCGGGTACATCGACGTTCGTTCGTCAACTGGCTTAAACTCACCGGAAATGAACCAGTGCAGCGATATTTAATACATTTTAATAGATTTGCAGAAAGAATTGCGCGATGACCATCCTTCGCATTCGTTGATGACACACAGGTGTACTAGTACATATAGGTATTTTCTTGTATTTGCAGATTCATCCAGATGACGCGATGACGCTACATTGGTGGATGCACTGGTTCTGGGTTACCGCGCAATTTCTTGGTGAGTCATCATCATTCCGATTGTTTGTCAAAGAACATTTTAACATAGAATTAAAAGACTTTTCCATCTTATCAGCCAGTAATTATCTTAACCATTTTTAATCGTGTGTCTTTTATTTTACTATTTCATCTTTAATTAATTGTTTTCCTTTAACTTTCTTCAGACAGATCAATACTACTAAGACTCGGGCAACTTTTTTGAAATCTACTGCTGTAACTAGATCACTTTGCGCAGTCGAATTACGTGTGTATCGTCGAGCATATGAGTGAATCGTCGCAAGAAATGAAACTAAATGAATTTCATTTCTCGTTAGATGACTTATTAAACTTATTATCATTCGAATGATAATTTATCGCATTATTGATCGCATGATTGATTCTACTCTCTTTTTATTTTATTACGACTTTTACAATGACATTTTATTATATAGAATTATTTATACCGTATGTATACCGTATACATACGTATACGTATATCTAAAATCGCAAATAGTTACAGTTTAAATAAGTTTTTTTATATATAATATAATATAAATTTGATTTTATTACAAATTTAATTATTACTTGATATTATTATATAAATTGGAGAAAAGAGAAGAGAAAAGAAGGGGGGGGGGGGGGA